TAGATGTCGCTATTAAATAATACCAGTGTCGCCATCTGTGACGAAACTTCCAAGCTTGTAGTGCAAATAGTTCTTACTATTTCTGCTAGATGTCGTTATTAAATAATAACAGTGTCGCCATCTATCAGCAATAGTTATAGTATACATATAATAACCATACTAATAATCGACACTTCTCAAAATATATTCGAATTATATTCAGGTTATAATCAAGGTTATAACTTGTATAAAAGTAATGAATTAAAAGTTATTTATTTTGTGCTCGTTATAAAGAATGTTTATTCAGATAAGAATACTTGTTCGTTCCTGTTTTCCTCGACTAAAGTATACATAATTTGGGAAACGCTGTTATATATTACACATGACCAACACAATTATTATGTTTATATTCACCGATATGTAAACTATAAAGAAAAGCTGACCAGCAGTCTAACGTGTTAAAATTAATTATCTATAATCGAACCTGGCATTTATGTATAACTGAATAAGATTAATGCTAGGTATACAAATATACATAATACAAAATAAACAAATCACAGATAATATCGACATGTATTTCATCAAATATTTACAGACTCCGCAAGGTTGCGATAATGAGAACAATACTTCTTTGTTTACCGTTATACGCCACGTCACGCTTCTTGGATGAACGTCCAGTAGTCCGGTTAACAAAATGATAATATATCTTCGAAAACAGACTAATGCAGACGTGTTCACTTACTTTTTAGAACGACCTCAATTTATTTGCTATCTAGAACGAGTCGATTACGTAACTCGAATGCATAACTGTTACATGTATTTCTTTTCAAGAGCGATTTTCGTTTGACATAAATTTAACGTTCACTGAATACGTTACGTAAACTCGGTAAACTGTACCTTTGCATACGCTGGCGAGGAACGAGCAACGTCTAATGAAATAAATCTAATAACTAATTTATTTCATCGACGAAAATTAAAGTAAAACATTTGATCGAATCAGTTACATTGTACATGTGTATATTGTACGTAATGCTTTTGATTCTCATAAACAGAGATGGTCAAAGATTAATTCGAATAATAGACGAAACACTCTTGCTTATGTCAGACTGTAGGTCATTTTCAAAATACAGTAGGTGGTTGCTCTGCAGTGAAGAATTTGTAGATAGCAGGTATAAGAGTAAATTTCTGTGTGTAAATATATATCACACAAGATGCAAAGGTGCTTAAGGTTTAGCCTATAATCTCCTTATAATCGCTAACAATAGGCCACAAATACTTTTAGGCAAACAATAAAACCGATATATCTGTCTCGTAAATTTCTATAAGCGATCCATAAGCTGTATACTTGGAAAACAATTTTTTTTAACATACAGTATCAACTCTGATATTTATTACATTTTCTATAGGTAAGAGTACTTCGGAACAAACTAATCTAAAAACTCAAAAATGCTGCAACTGTACATTTCGTACGTGTGACTATCACGTCGATATTTTCTCTATTACATCGATATTAAAATATTATACTATGTTTTGTATACTTTGACACATTATATATATTTTAAGTACAAACACATACTCCCAAATGCTTATTTTTGTTACACATAAAAATTTACTCCTATACTATTGTTTACAAGTTTTGCATCGTGGAGTAATTATTAATTACACTTCGAATAGGACTTACATAGAGGATTGGAATCGTTACATAAAATATATGTGACCTACTCCCAAAAAGGAGGCTTGTGGTCAAAACAAGGAACTAAATAAAATTAATTCTAAAACGTGAGGTATTAATGAAAATAAATTCAGATGCGTGTTAAATTTTCTCGAGCAAAGAAACCATTTGTAGTAAATACGCCACCTGTGGTACCTGCTAGTAGAAGAAGAAAACAGTTTGTTTCGCATTGCTAATTTTCATTTTTCTCTCGATAATTTCTGTAATAAAATTAACAACTGATCTAATAGTAATTGTTTTTGTATAATTTCAGGGGAAAATAATGTTTTATTTAAAACAGCTAGAATGAATCGTTTCTCTGTATTTCTTTCTTTTTTTTTTTTTTTGTAATAAAAATTATTCTAACAATAATCATTCTCATATAATTTAATTGTACTGAAAATATTCAACTGAATTTAAAGCCTCGAATCCCTTTTTGGGAACAAGTCGCGTATACTCGATTTGTCTACTTCGAAAACGAGTTCATAATTAGTGCTTTCACCTTTGCCCATTTCTGTACGTGAAATTTGTTCGACTACCAACGGCGCGTGTAGGAAGCACACAAGGTTCCTCAAATTGAATGGCAGTGATAAAAAATGGATCAGTTTCATGCGTTTTGGTTACCCTTACCGCTAAATACGTGTATATCTCTGCGTGTGTGTGTGTGTGTGTGGCGTGAATACAACTAGGTTGAAAATTTCGATGATAAACGTGAGTACTGATACTGTTTGTCCAAATTAAATTTTTATTAAACACGGTTTTTTTTCTGTAACATCGAGGACGAATTATAACATAAATAATCATTATTATTATTGATCAGTATCACTTTTTTGCGCTCAACAATGAGTCTATTTTTTTTAGTAACACTGGAAGATAGTGCGCGAGGGGAACGGCGGCGGTGGACAGCGGTTCTTTTTCCTCTCATCGAAACTCTCTTTTCTTTTCGATTTTCATTCACTCTTGCTCACTCGTACTCCCATGTGCATTAATTCTCTCTCTCTCTCTCTCTCTTGCACGTCGTGTAATACTTTCTCTCAGCTACACAAGGTTTCGGTATACAATACCTTACCTAATCTAGCCTAAACTTTTAATCGTACAGTGTAAAGCATGGCGGGTGATATATACATTACACGCGCTCAATTTATGATTAGATAGCAGATGTTTAATTATCGTTACTAGAGATAGGAAGGTAGGTAAGGGGGACAAGGAAAAGAAAGGTAATCAGCATACAGCAAATCCTCGAGTTACGTAGTTACGTTCCCGCATATGACCTACGTACTTTGCATGTATTTACACATTAAATGAAATTTACTTTTCACAAAGGATCTGTGGTATGAATCTGTCTAAATTTAATTTACCTTTGTAACTAAAATTATATATATAACAAACGTACTGCAGAGATTAAGAAAGATCAGTTCTATTAGGGGTATACAATTCAAGTTAGCTTTCTAAGCAAAAATTAATCGACACTATGTACGTATGCCCTTTACTTGTTGCACCATGATTCTTATTAGCATGATCTTTCTTTCTTCTCGCAGTACATCATATATATATGTATATATATACAAATATTCGACTTGGGCAGAAAACTCTAAAAGGAATTAACCGCCTAAGTGGAGGATTTACTGTGCCAGTATATTCGCGGGCTTGCATATTCTCAAATACATGTATGGTTAAGTGAAGATCTTTCGCTCGATATCTCTCTTTCTCGTTGTAGAAAGCCACCACCACCGCTCCCCGGCTCGATTTTCTTGCGTTTTGGCTGATATCACGCTAGTTACGAGAGTTCTTTTTCAATAGGTTCTCGACATCTCTTCCATTTTCTGTTCCGTTTCATGTATTTGTTTTCATTCGTGTCGTGTCGTTGTTCAAGAATTCGAAAGAGCGATTCAATCGTTTGGTGTCGGCTGTCTGGTTCGATATTCTCATGACTATACATAGGTGCATCATTCTCAAGCGAGGGACTAACGACAATTAACAAAAAGAACGTACCAAAAGCTTAAACGACTGACTTTCTCTTCTATTTTTGCTCGTAGGTGTTTTCATTTTCCATACCCGGATGTTGCTTTTGAAAAACCGTACTCCCGCTCACGCGCTTTTTTTTTTTTGATTCCGTGTGAATTTAAAGGTTTTGTGACATTCAGTCGGTGGCTCAGTGTCAGACGTAACCACATAATCGTCGATTCTTAGTTAACCCTCTATTACATTAGTTTCATCTTCCGTGATTATTTGTGTGTTCAACAATTTCTTAATATTCAAGCTAAAGGGTAGGTAGCTCACCTGCAGGATTACGAAACGCAAATATGAGAGAACAGCACGTGCTCTCATAAGTAGAATCCCGCAGGAAACTTTACAAGTATTATTTTCAGTGGGTTCCCAGTCGAGAGTTATTAGCGAGGTTGGTTTAGTTTCCGAGTGCTTTCGTTTAGTGGCAAATTGATACCGTATGCACTCTCGGTACGACTATTTAACAAAATTACATTGTGTATGTTTTTAAATACATTCAGCGCTAACGAAAGCATCGAAAAACCAAGCCAATTTCGCTCCTAGCTAAATAATCGGCCCTTATGCAGTTACAATTAGAATCCTCTGATACTAAACCGTCGCAGATTTCGTGGTTTTCTCTCCTGGAAGTATGCGCCTACACGTTGAGCTTTGTTGTTTCCTTTAGATAGAAAATACTGCGCAGTCAATAAAATCTGGCAAGCGGGCGCAACGAATTCCTTTTTGTCGTCGACTGTGACAATATCATAACAGAGTAAGAGTCGACGACCAATCAAAGTGCGAAGGGTTCGCTATCAGCTCCCATGACAACGAACCCCCAAGCTAAAATTCATTTTACATTTTTTCAGTGGTTCCCCATCGTTCGTTTAATCGTTAAAAGCATTAAATTAAATTTATTTTCTGTTTATCCAAAACAAAAAGTGATCTTTCGCGTGCCGTTACAAGCGCCCGCTCACCTGCACTGAACGAACTTATTATGGAATGTACAAATTATTTTTTTTATATACCATTATCTCGTAACCCCCTTTTTTCTTAGGTAGTCATACATCTGCTGGAACGCACGGAGTTTCGTTGCCTCGCATACTCGACCCTTCATCGACATACGTGTACTTGTATACGTATTTCTAATGAGGCGCGAAGTAAGTATATTCGGCACGGAGAGGGGAATCACCGCCGGCCTTAGCGGTCGCCCAGAATAATTCGTGAACCGTACACTGTGTTGCTCATAGTTAGTGCGATTTCCTGCTACGCCCAGCAGCCACTGAATTGACTTAATACTATCATGTATCTGTCCATTGTCTACTCACATTCATTTTGTTTTTCTTTTCTCTAAAACTCCATCCCACATACTATACTTTGTGTCTTGCTGTTTCGATTGTACAATATCTGTTCATTATTTTTTTTTTTTTCACAGTTTGTACAACCATCGCGTATATTATGCTGTTTCCCCACACGCAACGAACATGCGTGTTTCTCTCACTTTTCCCCATTTGGATATTCGTAATTTCATTTTCATAGACTCTCGTCATAGAGACGTTCATCTGCAATCTGTACGCTGCCACTTCAATTGCATTTAATACATAATTGTGCTAAATATTCTTTTATCAATAACATTTGTTTCCTTTATACACTCAGTAGAGCCGATTACCTTAGTTGATAATTCAATGTCAAACTACGCTACAAATGATTACTATACAGTGAAAGAGAAATGTTCAGCATGGGATAACGGGGTCTTTTTTTCTCCTCAATGTAACTCCCTGTCGCCTGTCGCTTTTTTTTTGTATCTTCTGTACACACACATCCTTTTCCTGCAAGACTGAATTAGTTTTCTTGATATCGGTTAATAGTTTTCGTTTTCATTCAGCACTCTTTGTTTTTACTTGTTTGAGGTATTATTTTTTTTTTTGTCTCGATAGTTGTGTCGTTTGTGTAATGAATACGTAGTTCTTAAATACTTGAACTCTAATATATCAACTTCAATACAGTATTACAGAAGGATGCTTAGATGACGCGATGTGAGTATGCATGGAAAAATGTTTTAAGTAAAATGTTGAAACAAATCGTAATAATATAATAGTCGGGGAGCGCTGTTGGTTGCAGGCGACGAGTCTTGCATTCCTGCCACTAAAATATTTTTACTTGGTGTACAAGTAGATGCCAACGATGAGACCATAGAGACCCAATACTTCTGCGAAGATTAGAATCAAGATCATACCGACAAACAGGCGAGGTTGTTGAGCGGTACCTCTTACACCTGCGTCACCAACAATACCAATGGCAAATCCAGCAGCTAGACCAGAAAAACCTACGGATAAGCCAGCACCCAGACGAGTAAAACCCCTAGTAAAAAGACCAAAAAAATTGCTTGTTAATTATGAGGAGAAGGTAATTATCAATTGTATACAGACGTATTAACGTTAAGCAAAGCAAAAGAATTTAGAACTAATCAAGCCCCAATCTAATTAGGTAAAAGATAAATAGACAAGCATTACAAAGATTTGTAATTAACTTATTTTCTATAACAATCTACGTAAATAGTGTTTAATATATATATATATATATATATATATATATATATTCTTATCAAAATTAATGTATGTTTACTTCCAAGGTAATATTTAAAAGAGGAATTATTTTAACGCAATTTTTCTGTTTTCAGTTCTTGTCAGGAAATGCTGAAGAGATTATGCGATCAACATTGATATTACCAAGGCAAATGTTTAATTATCTACTATTTATAATTATCATCTTCCACAAGACTGAGGAACAATCTATCAACAGCTTAGAAAATAGTGTTTACAACACTTTTTAATTATAAACAGTGGGTAATAAAATATTCGTCTTAGCAATACCAGTGTTGGTTGTTTATTCTCTTTGAAATTTCCTGGCAAAGAACCTGCAAACGAAAACTGCATATTATCAATGATTTTGTTAATCCAATTCTAAAGTTAAATCTATTAAGAAAATTGTAACATACTGGTAAAGAGAATATGATTTATGATCGCTTAAATCACCAGCAATGAGGACAGCTATTACAAGCCCGTAAATGGCAATGATACCCGCCATGACAACAGGAATGATAGATTTCATGATAAGTTCTGGCCTCATGACAGACATTGCAGCAATTCCTGTACCTGACTTTGCCGTGCCATATGCTGCTCCCAGAGCTGTAAGCAAAACAGGCAGTGTATTTACTTTGCTCGTTAACAACTTATCAACAAAAATTGCATTGTGTTGTTCCATAAATTATTTTAATTAATTTTTCATAAACGAGCCAAGTCCACGAATTCTCCTTATTAAAATATTACTGTGCGAGTTACTGTTACTCAAATGTAATTGGACTAGGTGCAGAAAATAATCGTCACGTAAAGGGTTAACGTAAACTGGAATTTCGTATTTAAAATGTTTTCTCGCAGCGAAAACAGGCGTGACAAATCCCTGGTAGTTGATTTGAAACGGTATTAGCGGGCCACCGAGGACTATCGATTTCGTTTTAATATTGATCCCAACGACGAGGTCACGGACCCGATTTCGCCGTTCAGTATTCGTCTCTGCGAAACCATTTTCGTTTACATCCAGTTAAAAATCTCACGATCTCTACGTAAAAGGGGTAAATTCGCGCAAAAAGATACGCCTCGACTGGAAATCGCAGTCACATGATTCTCACGTTGGCAGTCACATGATAATCATGTAAGTCCCATCCCGTGAGTAGGGGGGCGTGGCACAACCACGGTACAATCGTGCTTCATGCTACTCAGTTTCTGCTTCTTATCATTGTTATTGAGGTGTCTCTTCGTTCGAACGAATGGACCATGAATATTATTCAATTACGTTTAACGCAAGGGGATATCACGTAGAAACGTTCAGAGATTTACAAATAATAATTACATAGGTTTCGAAATAAAATCATCGGGACGGTGAGTATTGTTCGATTCTGCTGGTAATCAGCGATTTTTTCGATTTTTCAAATCGTCTGTGAATCGATTATCACGTGTATTTAACTCTAATCGAATTTCACACGAATCTCTTCATTTTGCAATATTCTCTAGGAAGTTTTCGACATTTTCCTCGTTGGATATTCCATCACTGAAAAGTACACGAGATTATTTATCTCTCGTTAAACATCACCACTAAACAGTAACTGTCAAGTGCAGAAAATGCTCATTCCAGCAGAACGATTATATTTTAAAGCAAACATATTACAGGCGATACTACAATAAATAATCGCAGTAGATACCATCTGCAACAACTATTTTTTAATTAAAATTACTGAATGAATGGTTAATAAACGATGATTAATCCACCGCATGATTCCTGCTGAATCTTTTCCATCGTTATCTCTCTCGAGAGTAGATACCGCGGATCAAAATAAAAATAAAAGTCGATGCAAGCATTACTCAGAATATTCTCGATACGATTTGTAATTGGAAAAATAACCCTTTTCGAGTAGGTTTTCACTTTTCAGCGAGTCGATCTCGGCGAATTTCGTTTCGAAATGGAACTTTTTACAACGGATTGGACATTGTAATTTGAACGAAAGGCTGTTGAGCATTTCGTGGCTCCTCGCGCCTTGGGTTCGTGGGTCAATCTTCCTCGTGTGCCGCCGTCCATTCAAGACTGGCGCACACGGGAAAAGGGAGATTCGTATTGATTTCCCTGATAGGGACAGAGACGCACGAAAACTTCAAGTATGCGCGTCCTCGGTTTCGGTTCTTGCCGCCCCCCCCCCCCCCTCCCGCCCCGTGCAACGGTTTCGAGAATCCGGGAATCAATTAAACCCGAAATCGATAAGCGATACATCGATTATCCGACGGAAACTTCCACCGACTGACTCCTTTCGTACACGGTCCTACCCGTTTTTCATTGAAAAGCACTCAACGAGGTCAGCATTACGAAATGACCGTGGGCCAGCCCGAACGCGCCGGAACGCGTTTCTCTCTTAATGTAAAATTAAGCTCGGGTAGGTTGGACCGCGTTTACGGAACATTACGAAATCCCAGATCTGCGTGCCTAGAAAAATGGCGCTTCAAAATTGAATCCGTATCCTTGGCATCCTCGTTGATCCGGAACGTGCCTGTATCGTCGCACTGTATATATATCGCGAACTGACAAGACTTGACAACGACGAATAAAGTACGAACGAAAAAAAACAAACTAAATAAATGGTATAATAGAGGTTGCGAACATAGTCGTTCATCATCTTTCTGCGGTTCATCATTTTCACAGTTTCCTATCGACAAGGAATCGAAGCTCGCAGTTAGTCCTATCTCGTAACCGAGCTAATTTGGACCTTCGTTTAATTGAACCCTACTCAGTAATCATGGTTTTTTCCATTTTTGATACTTTTATATCCGTAGGAGAGAAAATGGCGTGCGATGCCGATTTCGTCGACGTTGGGCGCGTCTCCGTAATCACATGACTCGCTCGCGAACGCGATAAAACTTTCCACGATTCCGTTTCGACTAAATCGGCATCGTTCGCGCCAGCTCTGAAAGTCGAACAAATGAAACTCACCAGAAAATATGATGGCCGAAGCGGCGCCCATAACTCCAAAGAAGGGGCCGTAAATAGGGTTTCCGTCCTCCATTTCGCTTACTGTTATGTTTCTGTTAAGACCTCACGACGTGAAACAATTGGTGCACGAGTATTTACAGGTTGTCGAAACGCGACGACGGTTCTTGGATTCCAGGGAGCGATCTTCGCTTACGCTCACTTCGCTAAACTAGGTGCCACTGTCAAATATGGCCTACCGTACAGTAGTGCGGGTCATGTGACGAGTGACGAGCGAGAGAAGAAGAGGCTACCACGACTCCTGGGATGTCTATTCGTTTGCTATTGGCTCGCGACTGCGGGGTACAGTGTCGGAAGCGAATCCCGGCGCGCGTCTCATCTTTTATATCTGACGTCAAGCCGCTCTATAGGTTCCGCGATCGACCACTGCGCATATCTTTCGCGCAGGCCATCGGTTCCTCGAGAGCGCGTGACACGCGTTTCCTGTACTTTTTCGCTTTCCATGGACATTTTTATGCCTTTATTCGTCCTGAGAAAGCGTCAAATATTCCACAGAAATGATATTTAACGCCTAAAACCCTTTATCAGCACACACGCCACTCTTTGAGGTTATTTTGTTTAAACACACGTGAGCACGTGACTGCATTCAAACGTACCCAAACGAACATGTTCCCTTATTCAAGAAAAATTAGTCAAAATACTCCCTACTTAATTTTTGAGAAGCAGCATTATCAATTCCTAACCATTATTAATCATTCCTAAACCTTCTCTTACTCTCAACATATCATCGTCAGAAGAATTTTTTTCTCAGGTCCACCTATAAATAAAGTTTAATATATACTAATTAATACGTTTTAATTAAAATTTAATATAGGAACATCTCCAAATACCTCTTTTAGAAGTCTCGTTGATGCGAGATCTCGTTTTATGAAACGCACTGGAGTTTTATATGAATGAACATAGTTTTATAACATTTTTCAAAGTGATACTTGAACCTGCATCATTTTGAAAGATATTAGCATTAATTAATGTTAATCCAGTATATCGTAGAGGTTTTAGTAGTTAGAGCCAACACCTTAATTTCAAACATGTGATTGAACATGTGGTTAAGCGGAAGTGATACTACGCGACTGCAACATGCTCGATTTAAATGTCATGTACAGCATGCTCAATGAAAGCAGAAGTCATTGATAAGAAAAATTGTTTACAAACATATTAACAATCATGAGGTTTGCATATAAAGTAAGAGAAATTTCTTTCACCAAAGAGTCCTTCTAAAAAAAACCTCAAATCGATCAAATAAGTACTAATATAACCTAAATATATTATTTCTAACCTAATCCTATGGTTATCTTACACGTTTAGTTTAAAAAATAGTTATAATCACTCACTGCTCACTGCTCACTATCTGTTAAATGCTTCTTATAGTTCAGTAATCTGCTTGGTACTGTTTATCGCAAGGGTGATTTAGTATTTACTCAAGATGGATCGACAGTCATTAGTCCTGTGGGAAATCGGATAACAATATTCGACTTAAAAAAGTAAGTAAATAAAAACAAGGACAATCAAGTAAATGGAATAACACGTGAAACTTATGTTCAGCAATAAATCAAGTACCCTACCTGTGGAGAGTAGATACAACTACACGTGCATCGATCTATCCCCCAATGGAGCTATATTAATAGCAATTAATGAAGGTACAAATTTTGTTATTCTTATACACGTTATAATACTTTTGTATAATTGTGCATTTCAAATGTGTTTCTAGAGGGTGAAGCTCACGTAATCAGTATGATCAGTAAAATGGTAATACATACGTATAGGTTTAAGCGGCGTGTAAGATGTGTAAAGTTTTCCCCAAATGGTAAACATTTTGCAGTGTGTAAAGAAAATAACGGTATGATTTTCTTATAGTTCACAGTATCAAGAAAACCATTAAAATAATGATAATTATATTAAACGGTGATAATCATTTTTTCAGTGTTTATTTTTAATGCACCCGGCTTACAAACAGGCGAGTACAATCCATTTATTATGGAGCGCGTGTATCACGGAGCCATGGACGATACGACATTCGTTAATTGGTCTTATGATTCAAAGTTGATCACTGTTGGTTCCAAAGATATGGCTACCAAAGTATACAGTTTAGAAAAATACGCGAACTTCAGATATATCAATCTTGGTAGTCATTCTGATGCGATTGTAGCGTGTTTCTTTGAGAAGAAAAGCTATGATCTGAATACGATTAGTAGGCAAGTAACTTATTGGTAATGGAAACGCGTAAATCGTAATTACAATCGTATATGTATTATACAGAAACGGTCAACTATGTATTTGGGAGTGCACGATTGACGCAGAAGACTTAGTACCTTGGGAACCTCCTGCCAAGAAAGATAAGCAACAGACAGACAGCGATGTAGAAGATGATGTTGATTTAGAGAAGGCTGTAGAGAGAACGGAGAAGCAGAATAAAGCTCACGAGCGCAGCTTAAAAAAATCACGTAATTCTTCTTTTCAATTACATTACATTTTATTGCATGAAGAATAACGTAAAATAGATATGTGGTTTATATTTTAGGAGTCTCCCCTGAAAGAGGATACAACAATGATAGCGACTCCGATTCAGAAGTAAAGAAATTCCGCTATAAGAAACTATGTCGTCATTATTTAGCGAATGATGTTCAAAAGCAGCAACACGAGAAAGTTATACTTACCGCGGCTGCGTATCATCAAGAAACTTGTATTCTAGTAGTAGGATTTAATAATGGTTCGTTTTATCTGTACGAGATGCCTGACGTGAATATGATCCACTCTCTTAGGTAATGCATAATTATATTTGGTTTTCTTAGCGGATTATAATTTATAATTCATTTTTTCCAGTATATCGGATCAATGTATCTCGTCTATCGCGATAAATTCAACTGGCGATTGGATAGCCTTAGGATGTTCCACGGCTGGACAATTACTGATATGGGAGTGGCAAAGCGAAACTTACGCTATGAAACAACAGGGACATAGTAATAACATGAACTGTCTCGCGTATAGCCCGGATGGTCAGTACATCGTCACTGGTGGCGACGATGGAAAAGTTAAATTATGGAATACGATGAACGGATTTTGCTCCGTTACGTTTCACGAGCATACGTCCACGGTGACGGGTGTTTTGTTCAGTCACAACAGGAAATTTATCGTTTCCGCCTCGCTTGATGGAACTGTCCGAGCCTACGACTTAGCAAGGTACAGGAATTTTAGAACTCTTACTTCACCGCGACCAGTGCAGTTTTCCTGCGTTGCGTTAGACTCAAGCGACGAGTTTCTTGCAGCGGGAGGCCAGGATTTCTTTGAGATTTATTTGTGGAGCGTTAAATTGGGCAAACTCTTGGAGGTATACGAACATTTTCATATTTGTTACTCTTTTTTTTGTGGAAAGTGGATTTACTAAATACAATTTTGTTTACTAGATATTAAGTGGACACGAAGGTCCCGTTGTCAGTTTGGCGTTCAATCCGAATATTACGAGCTCGGAATTGGCGTCAGTTTCTTGGGATAAAACATTGAAGATATGGAATGCAATCGAAAGTGGTTCCGCGCACGAAACGATACAGTTAACTGCAGACGGTATATACGTTACGTACAAACCGAATGGCGAAGAAGTAGCGGTGGCAACCCTGGATGGGATGATCGCGTTTTTTCAGTGCAAAACAGCAACACAGATCGGAAGCATCGAAGGTAGAAACGATTTGGGAAGTGGAAGGGCCGATACCGATCTTATCACGGCAAAGAGAAACCTGCAGGGCAAGTAAGTGTGCGCTGAATTTATTTTACAATTTATCTTGGAATAATTGTACTTATGAATATGTATTAAATATTATGTTTCTAGAGCTTTCAATACTTTGTGTTATTCAGCCGATGGCACATGTATACTAGCTGGTGGACAATCTAAGAACATATGTATTTATAACGTTCAGGAATGTATGCTTATCAAAAAGTTTGTCGTATCGCAGAATAGATCGCTGGATGCCGTTGATGTAAGTAATTTTTATGTGTAAATTTAGTATTGAAATATTATTGTTTTTAATTAAAATTTGTATGTATCTAGGACATCATAAGTAGGCGAAATTTAACCGAATTTGGAAATTTAGCCCTGGTAGAAGAACGCGAAGAAAATGAGGGAGGAGACGTGACGTTGCGTTTGCCAGGTGTTAGAAGCGGAGACATGGCGAGTAGGAGTATGAAACCGGAAGTGAGAGTATTTAGTTTACAGTTCTCTCCAACAGGTAAACTTAGTTTCCCCAAAATATAAAATAATATATTAGATAAAACAAATATTCTCTGTTTTGTTTATTATATAGGACAAGCCTGGGCTGCAGTTACAACGGAAGGTCTGCTAATATATTCCTTAGACGTCGGTCTAGTGTTTGATCCGTTTCAGTTGGAATTGGGAATTACGCCAGAGACTGTGAAAGAAACTCTGAACGAGAAGGAATACACAAAAGGTTTTAAACGTTCATATATTATTTATCTGGCTCGGAATAAACCAATACCAATAATGAATATTTTCAGCATTAATGATGGCGTCGAAGCTGAATGAAAAGTTGCTAATAAAGTGTGTCCTGGAGAACATTCCATGCAGGGATAGTGAGCGAATAATGATTTATAATATTGATGCTTATTAACATTTATCTAATGTCCCTATCTATAATATGTACCTCATTTCAGTCGAATTGACCGTGACCGATTTGCCCGATATCTACATAGAGAAAGTACTGAAATTTGTAGCATCAGAATTAGAATTAACGAGGCACATACATTTTTATCTCCTTTGGATAGAAACCATACTGACTAAACATGGTCCAAAACTCAGCTCTGCATTTCAAATGCCGGTATTACTGATGCTGCAAAAAACTATGCAAAAGAAATACGATGATCTGAGTAAAATGTTAGTCACTTCGTAATTTCATTGAATAATTGTAATAAGAAAGTGTCGGTCATGTTTTCTGTCGTTACAGATGCGACTTCAATCAATACACGATGAGCTATTTGCAAAAGCTCGGAGAGTACAATGCTGAAAAGTCTGTTCCTAACAAGCTCACGTCAGAGACAGATGAAGAATCGGATATGCTTTCAATCGAAGAATTAGTAATTAACTAAAAGCACGAACGTGCGCATATAAATATCTCATGTATATATCCGGATTATGTATAAGATTTTTGTAATAAATTTATTAAATATTCTTTAGGAATGTTTGTTCTATTCAGTATTTTAGACGAATTTAACTACTCCTCTTAATAATTTACACGTTTTCACCTAAATATAGAGTATACATTTCTATGCCGCTTTCTTCAGCAACAATATCGGCCAGTACAAAATCATAAACAGCATAAAAAGTGCGGGAAATCCCATTCTACTGTAAGTGTCAATCTTTTGAGAATGTGGCTTGTACACGCGTAACATCTGGCACTCAGGATCCAGCCAAGCGGGCTGCAAGAGATGCTTGCTACCGGCTCTTTTCTTTTTCACTTTCGGTACATACGTCGAGTCGTAGTCCCAGATGCTTTGACCTTTATCCATAGCGATAATCCGCTGAAAATAAAATCGAATTTCAGGCTTCTTCTATCCCCAACTCGACCTCGGTATTAAACTCCCGTTTAATCTAAGACTCGTCTGCTTTTTCAGCAAAGTTAATTCGTGGCCATAGCCTGTTTACGTAACGCTAACGACACAGCCATTATACAAACTGTTGGATAGAGCCTGGATATTAGCGATGCCTGAAGGTCGTACTCCAGTTGGTATCGCAAGTCGAGCACCTTGACCACTACGAATTCGCCGAGCGCAGCGAACACGAACATCATGCAACCCGCCATCCACACATCCAGTGCCTGCGATCCACAAAAGTTCGTCAGCAGTTGCTTCTGATATCTACTTTGTTATTTTACTCGTACAATAATATTAGGTCGTCCCATAAGTTCGTGCCGAAGACTGTGTCGAAATTTAATAAAAAAACCACAGAAATTTTCTAGTGACGGTATAATGACTATCTGAGAGAGGTGAGAAACTATTGCGAAATGAGACAGATTATCTTTTCTTGTGACACTTAAGAGTATGTTTCACATATTAATTTGAGAAATAGAAGTATAAATGGCACGAACTTTTAAGACGACCTAATATATATCGTGTACGATGGTGTTTGATACAGCATGATTGATGACGAATGAATCATCAATAAGCACACGATAGAGGGATTACTGATTCAACGAGAAGTTTAACAAGTTTCTGATGTTTGCATTCTCTAGTATCCGATGAGCAATTAGCGAGATCCGCAGATAGTCTTGAACCTGAATGAAAAGGCCAAGGAAACGTACTTTCACGTACGCGACTGGCGGAATGTCGCTTTTAAGACCAGTGAACATCGTGACTAGGGTGAGCATGCTGGTCACCAACAAGGCCACCCGACCAGGGATGGCGTCCAGGCCTAACCAGAAGCTGAACCAAGAGAGCATCACAACCAGCGTCGAGGGAGCGAATGTTTGTATCAAGTGATGGCCGATTTGCCTCTCGAAGCGGATGTAGACCACCAAGCGCGAGAAGTTCCCTGAAAAATGACCAACAATACAACATCTATCGAGTAGAGAATTTCTCCCTTTTTCTAAGAGGATTATTTATCATGTATCTTTCTGTTTTAAGGTCGTGGAACGATCTTCTACAAAGCGTAAGGAGGACTAAGCTGTATAAGCGATCGTACCGCTCTTCTCGAACACGTAGTCGACCGTTTCCTCAGCAACCACGGGTTTCCCGATGTCATACTGCAACAGCTTCAGTTCCGGGTTCACCGTGACACCATCTCCGCCCCATCGCAAGCGTAACTTCTGTATGTGATAGGAAACTATCGCGAGTAACGCAGTTTTCCAAATTAATGACGGAGACTCTATCGAGCTTGAGTTTTATTGGACGGGACAGCGACGAGCAACCCAATCGATGCTTAAACATTTCGGGATTATTGTATTGGATTGTCCAGAAAGTTCGTGCCAATCGAATTTCGAGAAAAATTCAAGGACACATTTGAATTTTGATATATTAGGTTGTCCCGAAAGTTTCTTTCGCGAGTTGCACTCAATTATTTTCTGTGGTCGTGTTTATATAAATAGACAATCTAATTTCGTAGATATTCATGTTGTAATAGTATTGGAGCAAAATGAATCGTGTACAATTGAGTAATGTAACATAAAACATTAAATATTTTGCATGTATTACTTATTAATAAAGCGAAAGAAACTTTTGGGACAACCTAATATATTTATTGAATTATATATGTACCATTTTGTTCCACAACTTTTCCACCTTTTAAGGGATGTCCACATGTTAATTGTTTTCAACCATTCCGATATATTCAGACCTGTATCGCCTACTAAAAATCGGTACGGACTTTCCAGACAACCCAATATTATATTATACAATTTAGCCCAGTATGTACAGGCCCTGTACTACAGGGGTTGCTCGTCACTGGTATCGCGAATCGATGGCTACTTCTTCGCTATCGGTAAACAGGCTGTGTCGTCCAACTTACAGCTTTCTATGTAGATCGGACATATTTGTATGTCCATCGGGTACAGCTGAAACTCCATTTGACAGGCGATAATTGCGTGCATTCGTGCCGAGTATTTCACGGTTTTGTTTCTGTACAGGGTCACCGACGAGAATTTGTGGTTCAACGCGGCGATTTCTGCAAATGCAACAGCTCGACTTATTGGCGAACGTATCGAGAAGCAAGTCCAAGGAGTGAAAATATATTTATTTACCGTGAAACTTACCGGAAATTTTGGCGTTTAAAAAGTAAAGATCAGGCTGCCATAAACTGTCGAAGAAGTCAGGTGGCAAGGTCACGTAATCGTCACCCTCCTCGAAGATATCGTCAGGCATGTCTAGACGAGACTCTATCCAGCTCTCGCGCACGAACATGTCCACTCTGCTTCGACAGGCAACGCCGTTAGCTTTGCAGCTCTTATAAAAATAATTACAGTGGGTGTAGAAAGTATTCGTACACCGATCAATTTCCAAAAAAAGGAGCAATAAACTAATGTGTTTACGTTACAAACTCTACTGTAAATGGCTCGTCATAAGAATCGTACAAATACTTGTTGCTTCTATACTTTTACCCACTTTTCGCATGTTTTGCGAAAAGTTTCATTTTTGCGTGAATATGTCAAATATCATTGATTGTACAAAAACAAGTTAAGAAACTACAATTTCACACAAAAGTTATTTGGGAAATTGATCGATGTACGAATACACCGATGTACGAATACATTCTACACCCACTGTAACTAGGTAATCACTGCTTCTGGCAAATAGAAATATTTGGAGAAACGCGGTTCAGAGGGCTAGCGATAGACGACGACTCGGTAAAAACATATCGTCTCAATCTTCTCGCTACTAGTGCTGCACTTGTTACTTGCCACTTGTTATCAGAGGTAGTCCAACGAAAAAGACCGTTGGACAACCCCGAAGGAGACATGAACGTTTCGCGTCACTTCATTTTTAAGACCGGAATGGTTTATTTGCGCAGTTTCACCGTGTATATCAGCAGACTCTGTGTACTTCATCGCGAACAGTTTAATCGCGAACAGTATAATGCTATCTTGAATGGATCTTATTCGTCGAGTAATAAACGACCAAAAAATTTGTATCCTCGAGCTCACCTGAAGTCCATGTCCTCCACGTTTATCGAATTGATATCAGCCACGAGGATATTAAAGTCTACTATCACAGGCATGCCTCGCTTCGACGGTGGCCTGATCTCTGCGAGCACATTTGTTCGTACATTATTTGCTAAGAAATCGAAGGAACTTTGTTTCCTTTTATTCGTAAGGGGAGATCAAAGGAACTTTGATTCCTTCTACGTGGTGAAACCTGGTAAAGACTGGATAAGTGCAAGAAAATCGGGAGCCAAACGTTGCAGTTATCCAGTCGAGGTTTCTATTCTGTGTTTACAATTGGCTCGAGGATAAAAAGGAAGAAGCGTATCAATCAGTTAGCGTATCAATCAGTTATTCTCCACAGGCTCCAGTCAATCCTGTCTTTCACGTATCCAGTCTTTAGATTTAATCAACGTAATTCCACGAACTCTTAAGAATAACTTTTAAAACGTTGGACTATTATCCGAGATGCCATTGATTTACAAATGTCAAGATTTCAAATTGAAGACGTACTTTTATCAAAATAAAACGTAGCCTATGTTACTCGGGAATAGCGTAGCTTTCTATTACTGAACAAATGTTTAAAATCGGTTCGGTAGCTCCTGAGATTACCCCCTGCATACAAAGAAACAAACTTTACCTTTTTATAATGTTAGTATAGATTGTGCTTGTCGAGCGTTTCACGAGGAGTTCAACTTAAGTTAAGTGGATTTACAAGATCGTAAATCACCGCCAGTTATGTCCTGCCAATTTCGAATGCTCCCGCAGAAAGTCTCTCACGCATTTGATTTACCGTTTCGACCGACTTTTTGTGTCGTTTTCTATGAATTATAGCAGCCACGTCCTAATCTAGGGTTTAGATTTTTAGATTTAGACATTGCGAACCGAGTCCAATTTTAGAAAGACGGATACATCGGAATTGTAAGGCGAAATAATACCTATAAGATGGATTATAATAGGCGAATTGGCGCGGCAGTCGTGCAAACCAGTCATTGTGCGTGTCATCATGTTATGCGTGTCTTCGTATTAGGTACAAGATCAAGTTAATCGATTAGGTTATCGTTCTATCGGCCTAAATCTTCACTGCGACCGTGTTGCGGATCGAAACCTAATATCAACGCATTGAATCGCGTCTCTGTCAATTTTCTGTATGGTCGCAGGCGAGCGATCGTTAGAGGTGATCAGAGATCAATAATGAGATCGAGAAACGAGATATTAACTGTGCTTGTGTTTTATTTTGTGTACTTTCAATGGAGCCACTAACCTTTCACATAATGTTCTGGTAGCAGTATCCCTGATTTCAGGGTGGAATTCTTCGCGTCATCGGACGACCAACTGCGGTCAAAAAAATGTTACGAGATAGATTTTAGATGTACAGTATTGTCTCGAAGAGGGTTTGTGGATACACTGGGGTTTGTTGAAGTAATATTTTGCACGGTTTGATGTGCGACTGTCAGTATTGTCTCGAAATAAGCGACTCGGTTGGGACCGACGAGTTGCTTATTTCGAGGGAGGTATGCTAAACCGTAGATAAAACAGGGGATTCGATGTAGCGGCAAACTACATACAACTAACAGTATTGTTTCAGAGAATACACACGCCAGAGAAAGAGAAAATATTACACATGTTCCGTGCTCTTTCCGCTAATCTGTTCGGCTTCTTGCTTTCACGGGGCTCTCACTTCTTTTCGGATCTCTTAATCGACGGGGCGACTTCAAACAAAAAGCTGGGGATAGCGAGTTGCTTATTTCGAGACGATACTGTATTTCTCATCGAAGAGAAGCTTTGATAACGCGAAGACGCGACGTACCGTGGGTTGTCCGGAGAGTTCATGCCTATTTTTAAGAAAAATACAAAGGTATATTTGAATTTTGATATATATTTATTGAATTATATACGTATCATTTCGTTCCACAACCTTTCCACCTGTTAAGGAGTGTACACATTTTATTTGTTTTCAGCCATTCCGATATATTTCAGACCTGTACCGCCTACTAAAAATCGCCATGGACTTTCCAGACAGCCCAATATGTAAATGGGACCGAGATTCCTCTTTTTATCTCGAGATAATGTTGAAATATAAAATGAACTACGCCACCATAAGGAAACGTTACTTTTTCTCCGCCATTGGATACCATGAGTGAGAAAAGGAGAAGTTATCTTCACTATTTGGTGACCAGCACAGAGTGTGAGGTAAACTAAAGCTTGGAGACTAAAACAGAACTAACTACGGTGATGTATGGGGAGCCATGCAGTGATGGATTGGTCGTGTAAGCCTAAAGGAAAGGAGTCGTTTACCTCGCGTTGGAGCGCACTTTCGTGAAAAGGTTCAGCCACGAGTAACAGAGAATCGCCAGGGCCGCGTTCTTCATCCTAAGATTTAGACAACTGCCGATACGTTTTGAACAACCTTCCTGTCGGCATCGAGGCGTTCCAATTAATCTATTACGTGCCAGTTACACGCAATCTACTTCAATTGCAAATATCGTCGAATACCGCAGTACGGTTGTCGCTTTCCTACTGTTGCGTAACTATTCGCTATCCTACTACAAGAAGATGGACTCTTATCTATATATTCGAAACTCACTGGCACACAGAGTCGTATTATTTTAACTAACAAGATAATGCAGGCATTGTAAAAATGGAGAATTAACACGTTGACTGTCGGACAAATATCCTCGACAATATTCTGTTGGGATTAAATATTATTAGAACCTACATAATCAAACCTTTATCTTGGTATTTATTAGGTTGTCCCAAAAGTTTCTGTCGTTTTATTAATAATTAATATATACGCAATATTTTATGTTTCATGTTACATTACAGAATTGTGTACAATTCATTTCCCTCCATTACCGTTACAGCATCAATGTCTAAGAAATTATTGGGTTGTCCGGAAAGTTCATGGCTATTTTTAAGAAAAATTCAAAGGCATATTTGAATTTTGATGTATATTTATTGAATTATATATGTCATTTCATGATCATTTTGTTCCACAATCTTTCCACCTCTCAAGGAATGTACACATTTTATTTGTTTTCGGCCATTCCGATATATTCAGACCTGTATCGCCTACTAAAAATCCCCATGGACTTTCCAGACAGCCCGCAATAGATTGTCTATTTATATAAAAACTGTCATAGAAATTAATTGAATGCAACCCACGAAAGAAACTTTTAGGACAACCTAATATTTTTGTAGCTCCATCAAAGTTCATGAATTTCTTTTAAATTCATTCCCTTCGACGCTTAACTCTCAGAATCAATTTTCTCAGTTCGTCAACGTGTTAAAGTACGCGGCAATGCGGTTTAATAACCCGACGAACTAACTATATCGCGAGATATATACAAGCAAAGCCTGGTATTTTTGAAAAGCAGCAGAAAAATTCCGTGAACCGCTGGATCAAATGGCGGAACATCGACACACCGCCCATTCGAACGACCGGAAACGAAGTGAGTCCATTCATCGTGGAAAGATTCGTGGACTCGATAACGACAGCTTTTTTTCAGGAACTGGAAGACGCGCGGCGACTGGACATTGGAACGACGAAGAGAAAGACTAGAGAGAGTGAGGCTTCTTCTTGGACCGAAAGAGGCGCCTCTGAGTAGCTGGTGGATCCAGCAGACAGTCTGAGATTCCGATCTCGCGTACCATGTACACGGTGTGAAAGAAGTAACGATTTATAAATAGAGTAGACGACTTATCGATACTCGAAATAAAATCGTCATGTTTTTACTCGCACTTACAATCTCTTCCGACTTTGTCGACACGTATACTCGATTCGTTACAGCATTTTCAATGGAGATTACCCAATTAATACTTTGGCGAACGTTTCTCTTCGCACCCTGTACAAACGTGGTTCTCACCTCAGTCCCCCTCCAGGATATGACCCTTATGAGAGGACAACGGTACCGGCCTCTCATCCACCATACACCGCGATTAGACGTCACCGCTAGCCTAAATGTCGACCTCGATCGTCGACCTCGATGAGTCCACTCGTCCACTTTTCTTTGCTTTCTTGCATGATCGTCATCTTTTGTTCGAGATTACTTGACGTGATTCTGTATGCTGGTTTCGATTTGTGTAGCGTGGGTGGTCCTACCTGATTAAAACAGGGAGGTCTGTTTTTAATGTCAGGGTCGCTTGCTGTTAGAAAGCAAAGCAAACGGAACGACTGGCATTCTCACCTCTGCGAAGAGAGTTTTCTATTATATTATATTTACATTGGACATTATCAATCGCTTATGTACACCATCGAGAAACAACGATCGATGGAAAAGCCTTTTTCTATAGTGTCTTTTTCTTCGTGTGAAGTGGCAGTAAAATTATTCTCCTTATACGTAATTAGAATCGCAAATTTACCTTTTCCATTTGACTTTACAGCCACTAATTACAGTGCACGGTTTCCTGAAAATTTATTTGATTGCCTTGGAAGCGTCAGCGGTTTGTTAATAAATTCTTTAAACAATTTCGAATGAAAGACGTACAGTATTCCTCTCTTGAGCTCGTTAACGTCTTTGTTATTTTGAGTAATAGAAAGCGTCGCATGGAAAAATGATACGACTTCCAGTGAAGCGTGGTAGTTAGTAGATAATATGGTAAACTCGAGAAGAAGCTATACAATTTTATTATGATGTGAAGAAGACCCGAAGAACAACTTCATTTTATTAACGAAGTGTTAAATTATGCGTGACCATTTGTACGATGGAAATGTGGATGATGTGCAGTTCTACCGAAATTTTAATAGATGATTAAGAAAGTAACATGAAATGAGATGAAATTTTAAAAAGCAGGTAGTCAGGGAAGAATGTAAGGTGGAGATCACTTGGAGGTCAAGCAGAGGTCACGAACCCTTCAAACAGTCCAAGTTCCACTTGCGTCGTTCTTTTTTTAAAGGGCTTACAGTTCGAAATAGGACAAAATATAATAAAATAGGATAAAGTAGGACCAGTATACCATGAAACTATTCAGGATGAATCTCAACGAAATTGACACGCGTGAAGCTAACGGACACATTCAGGGTCAAACGACAAACACAGCGGTTCGCCTAGGAAAACACTTTGGACGTTTGAGATCCAGTGGGCGGAAGGACAAACCGCGACTGGTTTACATGACAAAAAGTCGCGCCGATAGAAAGTCATCTTACGTAACTGTTCAGCCACTATCGGTTGTCCCATTTCAACGTATCTCGTGTTTAAGCATGCGAGCGCTTCTTTTTTCATGGAAGTAACGCCCCCGAGTGCAGCGTGAAAAGTTTTGTAACGCCGAGGGAGACCGGAAATCTTATTGGTTTATCGGTAACCGCGGTGAAATCGGCGCCTTCGCAAGAACCTCTCGTCGAAGACTCGCGGAATGCCTCGCGAGTTTCGCTGGCTGTCGTTATCAATCAGGGAATTGATTCTTTTCTAGAAACTGTGGCTGGCTAAATTTTGTGTCTCAATCTGGTATATCGTTTATATTTTACGAAAACGTCAAACTTTTCCCGGTAAGATTTTTAATTTGCTCGATGTAATGCGATATCGTAGAACTTCGTAATATACAACACGTTTCGTTGTCTTTTATTGAGACGATTTACCGGACCAAACGAACTTGTATATATCATACAAACTTAGCGAGTTCTCTTTTGGGTACTAGGCACGAACGCGTTAACCACCTAACGGCTGGGAGCGGTAGTATGTATTTTTTTACGCGGATGTAATATCATTTTTCTGAAAATAACATAGCCTATGTTACTCCAGGGAAAGCAAGGAAGCTACTATTAACATTTCATATCAATCGATTGAGTAATTTTTGAAATTTTTGTATACATACAAACAAACGCTGTATCTTTAATATTAATAGTAAAATAAGATAAGATAAGATATACAGGCTGTTCCACCTAATGAGTTATTCTTACAAAATCGTACTGTCAACATCATACGGTCGACGTATTAAACATGTTTGAATTTGTATAATAAACTGTTGACTAAACCGTTTTATATTAAATTATATTAAACTTCTAACAATAATTGCCAATCTACCGTTTGAAACGTGTCCCAAGCGTCTCGCAGAAGCGGTCCACCTAATTTGTATAGAGTGTGCCGAGAACAGGAGTGTTTTCGAAGAGCTCGTGCTCTTCTTGCACGGGCACCAGGTACCGTTAATTATAGGCGTTGAAAAGTGGCGAGCACAGGCTTTTCTCGGCGTCCGAACAAGAAACGATGCAGTTGAGAAAATCAGTGAAACTCGCCGCGACGTAAGAACCAGTCTTTGTGCTTTACGCATTCTTGGGCGGAAGTCGATCTGCAAATACGCAACGATGGGCGAAATTCTTAGTCGAATAACACTTTCAAATAACGAATAAAACGATACATCGGAAGAATTAGCTGGTCGGCATTCCTTTGGCGGCGCACAACACACTGTCGCTCTTCCGTTTAACCGTTGACGCGCAGTCGCTTGGCGGATTTTGTGGGAGTCGGTCGAATGAAATCATTTTTAGTAGAGATTCGTGTTAAGCTGCATGTATATGCATCTTGAAATCCTCTCACAATATATATATACAATTATACATTATTATACATATATACATATTATATATACATATATATATACAGATTATACATATATTACATATATACATATCATATATACATATTATACATATTATAAATATATTACATATATTACATATATACATATTCTACATATATTAGATATATACATAGTATATATACATATTATATATACATATTATGCATATATTACATATTATACATATATTACATACATACATAGTATATAGTATAGTATATTATTATAGTATATTATTAATATTAATAATAATTATTATATATATATATAATATATGTATAATATCTATATATACTATGTATATATGTAATATATGTATATATATTATTAATATTAATTATATATTATACATATATTTGCCATAAGCATTGTGTGTTTAATATATAATTGATATATTAGGTGTATGTGTACATATTATATACAATGGACGTAACTTATTCAAGCATTGCATATTGAAATATTTCGTGGAATATGACAGAGCCACATGGTTAATAAACCTAAGGAAACAGGTTTAAGCAAATAGCCGTCTAGCGGTTTCATCGAAAGGCTCGCGACTATTAAATTCGCAATACAGTACTGTATTAATTTCATTTGCCAAAGATAAATTCCTCAAATTTATTACTCTTCGGTTATCAACGACAATGTATAGTCGATTATTTATCGACACATCGGCCTCAATTTTCTCATCACCTTCCAGTTCCTGCAATTTCTCAGAATTGAAGTTATAAATTTATGAACCAACTATGAAATTGAGGTACGAAAAGAAATCATATATTCCTTAGCGTCTCGGAAACTAAAGGGCTATGACAAATAATATACCAGGCTTTTTTTTAATTAAATTCGATTTGGGTTCTGTCAAACAGTTCGAAATATACGAAAGTAGATAAAAGTTGGGAAAGAGTTCTCGCGCCATTGGTTCTAATACAGATTTCCATGTAACGGTAGGAGCCAGTGTTTCAAACTAAACAAAAATTAAGGATTACGTTACGCTTTCTTGAACTAGCATACCCAGCGTCTACATATTGTATGCGGGCATGTCAGGGGCCTATAATGCGATTCCTCACTCCTGCAATTGCATTCAATTGAATCTTAATATTCCTCTATCCGGAAACGTGGATTCGAGCGAAGAAAATTCACTTTACCAACGTGAAATAACATATTCGAGTCTTTTAACCGGAATGTCGATTCAATTCGGTTTACATAAATTGTGTCCAACGGACCAATGTTCCTTAACCATTATTTTACCAGCGACCTCTTTTCTCGAGGTGAAATCTAAGATCTACAGATACCACGAATTCATTCATTGAATCGAAATAAATTTTGACAAATAATTAAGGAAGAGATTATTTTCCACTTGCTAATGTTTCTCTAGTCACCTAAATAATTCTTCAGAAATCATGTCCATGTACCTTTCCTTAACCATTCCTTAGGACTTAGAACAGAGCCCCGATTACCCCAATACCTTACAACAGTTAACGCGTTTCTCCGTCAGAGTATCAGCGTGTTAGGTGCGAAAATAGCTTCCTAGAAACTCGTAGGAAAAAAATTGTTGTGTCATCTCCCATTAGATCGCTCTTAAATCTCCCAGAGGAAAATCGGTTTCCTCTTCCTAGTTGAGATCATCCCACCTAGCAGTTCCTGTGCTACTACACCAGTCGTAGTTCTTGTTCTCCGATTTCCAGCGGAACAAAAAACCTCAGTCCTCGGACCAATTATCTATAGAAATCATGTCGAGCACACTAGGGGAACCAAAACGTCGAGGAAGTGCCATAAATTCGAAACAAGACATCTTTGTAATTAAGAGGGAGGAACTATATTTTTGATACAATCGATCCTCTGTTACGATACTCGTCCCTCGGAATTAATTAATTGAAGAAGAAGTTTTGTGTACACGGGTAAAATTATTTTTAATTATTTATACATTAGTTTGTCTGGAAAGTCCGTGCCGATTTTTGGTAGGTGGTACACGTCTGTTTATATCGGAATGATTGAAAACAATTAACACGGGTGCATCCCTTGAAAGGTGGAAAGGTCGTGGAACAAAATGGTATTTATACAATTCAATAAATATATATCAACATTCAAATGTGGCTTCGAATTTTTCTTAAAAATTGCCACGAACTTTCTGAACAACCCAATACACAATAAATAACGTTTCCTTTCAAGGACTGAATAAGTTCCATGATATGTAAACAGAAATTTTAGATGGTAAATTAACTTTTGCTTGGTTTCGCTAATTTACGAATGAAACGTAAATAGAAGTCGATTTACAAACGAACCAACAACTTTCAATCAAATTTGCCTCCCTGGCGAAGTGTCGAAAACGAGTGTCCTGGATTGGACAGTTCACGGCAGAGATGAGCAAGTTATTCCAGTAATAGATGGCGAATATGCGCGACCAATCTATAGTTGGATCCTTTTTCGAAACGTTTATTCGATTTAAGGTACCGGGAGCGAATCAGTTAGATCGCGTAAGTACGAATCGCGTCAACGATTAACCGCGAAACCGTCCATTTGATCGAATCCCGTGCAACGTAAGCTCCCTTTAAGGGTTGTATTGATTTCAATGATGGCGGTCGGCCGGCGCCTGCACCCTCGAGGAGCCTGAAAGTGCATCGCTCCGGCGTGTTTTCCGCGTAATACGGCGATGAAACGAGCCTGGCGTCCTTGTTACAGTGAAAATTAGTCAATTACTGCCCGAGCCAATTATTTTTCGACTTCCTCGAACGTATTCGGTACTATTAATAGTGAGATTTGTGAATAGCGACGATGCCGCCTCTGAGGTCCTTGACGTAGAGACGAGACAGTGCCGAAGTTCATGCCATGACTTCCTTCTCCTACTAAAAAATACGGTGAGTACGTAACCCGGGACACATTCTCACATTTTGATATCCCCGATTCTTCGATCGCGTGAAATTTATTCGGCGTACACCTCTTTGACGCTTCTTATTTCACTCGAACTGCAATTATTATAATCGAATTTTCGAATTTATGTACTAATTTACGCGTGCGAAATTTAAATTTTGATTGCGATCATTGAAGGTCTAAACATAGCCCAGTTTATAACAAGTTGAACTGTTTGAAAATAACTGTTTTCCAAAATAATTGGGGAATAAATGAAATTCTTCGTTTGTTGACTATAAGACAAGGAATTCCTCTCGTAGCATAGTTAAATTATAAATTCAGACACACGTGCTGTACGACATGCTCGGCGACCGGTTGTAACCTAAAAATTAACGTTTCGCAGACGGGACCCAAAAAATCGAGGTCGAATTGACAATTAGAAAAGCTAAACCTCGTGTGTTCCTGTACAGTCTAATAAATAACCTCTTAAAAAAATGGTGAGGATATGTGGTCTCAGCAAGTAACATAATTAACATTCTCGAATACACTTTGAACTGAGAAATAAAAACTAAGAAGGTTTCTAAACTTGGAGCAAAGACTAACGGAGAAGAGGGTTTACGGCTAGACAGAGAACAAAAGAGTTTAAGAGGCTCGCAGCGCACATGGCGACAAAGGACAGAGGCTTTTGAAATGTGTGAATTATTAGTATTGTAAAGAGAAAGGTGGACCAGACATGGGTTAAGAGAAATGTGGTAACACGAGTAAAGAACTGTGGTCAGTGTTGGTCAGTGATTGAGCCAGTCACAGATTGAATACCCAGATGTATCAATTCCAAAGCTCTATAGTGAACTGTCAAACCTATATCATCATAGTTGGCAGCAGTAACTACTCGTTGACAATTCAAACGTGCAATCAATAAAGGAACTCCAGTAGTTGATGAAAACCTGTGAATTTTATTCATAATACAAGTAGAAACCGTACAAACATATATCTACGTAAAGAATTTATTATTAACAAAGGAAGACTTTCGAACAGTGGTCGAAAGGGACCGAAAAAGAACTTTGCAAATCTCTACACTTGTAATTTATTCACGAATTCTAAAGACATGGATCGCTGTGAAAGTAAGGATCGGTGTTGGTTACCTTTTCTCAATTTTTTTTTTCTTAATTGACGTCGCTAAAACTGTTCACAGGTTTCACTAATTTTTTATACTTTTTCGAGACTTTTCGGCGCGTATCATTATTTGATTAACTGTAACTTTCTCTGAGAGACCTAGATGACAAATCACTGAGCTAGACGTAACACATTTTATCATACTGCCGATACACAATAAGAGCGTACAATATTCAAAACGAGTAAACGAGTTAAAAAGAATAATTCTTGGGTAACAAGAAAGCTTTGCTTAATAAAGCTTCCTGTAACAAAACATTGTCTAGGAAAGCTTCCTATAACAAAGCTTTGTTTAATAGAGCTTCCTGTATCAAAGCTTTGCTTAATAAAGCTTCCTAGAACAAAGTTTTGCTTAATAAAGCTTCCTGTAACAACACTTTGTCTAGGAAAGCTTCCTATAACAAAGCTTTGTTTAATAGAGCTTTCTGTATCAAAGCTTTGCTTAATAAAGCTTCCTATAACAAAGCTTTGTTCAATAGAGCTTCCTGTATCAAAGCTTCCTATAACAAAGTTTTGTTTAATAAAGCTTCCAGTATCAAAGCTTTGTCTAGGAAAGCTTCCAGTATCAAAGCTTTGTCTAGGAAAGCTTCCTATAACAAAGCTTTGTTTAATAGAGCTTCCTGTATCAAAGCTTTGCTTAATAAAGCTTCCTAGAACAAAGCTTTGCTTAATAAAGCTTCCTATAACAAAGCTTTGTTTAATAGAGCTTCCTGTATCAAAGCTTCCTATAACAAAGTTTTGTTTAATAAAGCTTCCAGTATCAAAGCTTTGTCTAGGAAAGCTTCCAGTATCAAAGCTTTG